AAGCTCTTTATTTCACCATCTATCTTGAATAATAGCCTTGCTGGATAGAGTAGTCTTGGTTTCAAATCCTTGCTTTTCATTACCATGAATACTTCATACCTTTCCCTTCTGGCCTGTAGAGTTTCTGATAAGAAATCAGCTGACAGCATTATGGGAGCTCCTTTGTAGGTAAGAGATTGCTTTTCTCTTGCTGCTTTTAAGATTCTCTCTTTGTAATTTTTGTCATTTTAATTATGATGTGTCTGGGTGTGTGCATCTTTGAGTTCTTCTTGCTTGGGACTCTCTGTGCCTCCTGAACTTGTATGACTTTTTCCTTCACCAAGTTAAGGGAATTTTCTGCCATTATTTCTTCAAACAGATTCCCTAACCCTTGCTTTCTTTTTATATCTTCTGGTAATCCTATGATGCAAATATTGTTACATTTCATGTTGTCTCACAGCTCCCTTAAACTATCCTCCTGTTTTTCAATTGTTTTTTTCTTTTTGGTTCTTTGATTGAGTGATTTTTTTCTACCCTGTCTTCTAATTCGCTGATCCGATCCTCAGCTTCCCCTAAGGTGCTGTTTTTTCCTTCCAATGTATCCTTTATTTCTACCATGTCATTCTTAATTTCTTTCATAGTTTCCATATCTTTTCTCATGTTGTTGAGCATCCTTGCAATCACTGTTCTGAACTCTATATCTGATAGATTCCTTATCTCCATTTCACTCATCTCTTCTTCTGGAGAATTTTCTTGTTCTTTCATTTGGGCTTGTTTTTTTGCCTCCCCATTTTGGCTGCCTGTTTGGGTTTGTTTCTGTCTGTTAGTTAGATCTGCTAGGACTCCCAGTCTTTTGGATGGTCTCTGGTGCAGGCCAATGTCAGACGCTGTTTGTGACTGGCTTGAGAACCCTGTTTGAAGCTTTCCACAATCCACAGCTATGGCTCCCTCTGCTGAGGCTGGGTGCGTTTGGAAAGGACAAAGATCCACACCAAGGTCTGCTTTTCCAAGCCCTGGGTCCAGAGGCAAATCAGGCAGAGACTCAAAGCACCCAGACAGAGGCTGATTATTATTCAGTTGCTTAGTAAGCCTCAGGCTGTAGAAACTCCACAGGGTAGGACAGTTGCTTCCCCCCCCCCCCAGCAAAGGCTGCCTGGATAGTAAATGTCTGCCTGAGAAAAATGTCCTCTGTCATATGGGGGAATGACTCAGCACACGAGTCCAGACATGTACCCTCTGAGCTCTATCTCCAGAGGCCACAACCCTGGATTCTCCTCACACAGCTCTAATCTACTCTGCCCTCTCTCTGCCAGAGCCCAAGGTGAGTGGCTACACACAAAATTTTGTGCGTTGGCCCTTTAAGAAGGTGCCTGCATATCCAGGTGCCTCTCCCTGTCAGACAGAAACCCCACTGCTTTTCATGGCCAAATGTTATGTGGGCACCTTTCTCAGCTCTGGTGCTTTGGGCTGGAGCACCCAGTTTGGGGTTTAGACCCCTGAGTTCTCAGTGGGAACCCCCCACAGCTGAGATATCCCTTTGGACCTTCACTTGCTGCCTGTGGGAGCCCAGCCAACCCTCTTGTGCCTCCACACTTCCTATGGGGTCTTCAGTTTAAGTTCTTGGTTATGAGGGCGCTCTCCAGATAGTAGTCTTCAGTTGATTATTCTGGATGGTGTGTGTATATATATATATATATATACACACACACACACACACACACACACACACACACACACACACTTTTAAAATATATTTTTATTGATTTCAGAGAGAGGAAGGAAGAGGGGGAGAGAGAAAGAAACATCAGTGACAGAGTCATTGATCAGCTGCGTCCTGCACGTTCCCTGCTAGAGATCAAGCCCACAACCCGGGCATGTACCCTGACCAGGAATTGAAACATGATGGTCTGGATCATAGGTTGATGCTCAGCCACTGAGCCATGCTGGCCAGGCAGTTTTTCTATATTTTAGTTGTAATTCCAATTTTGTCGTGGGAGACTGTGTAGCTTCCACTTAATCTGCCGTCATCTTGGAATCCTAATGTATACATTTTCCAAAGTAATTTTTAATTTATTATTTCTTGTTTACCCACCAATATAATCCCCACATAAATCTTTTTACTACTTATTTGCCAAGTTTGACTCAAAAGTCTTGCACCTACTCCCTCTATTCCTATTGCTGTAGATGTGGCCTTAGGCTCTCATCTGCTGTGTTGCCAACATCTTGATGTTGGCTTTTCTGCATCTAGTCATTCCACTTCAGTTGTGATCCATGCTGCTGGCTTGCAAACTATTTTATGGAGCCTGTGTACTAGGGGGATGCTGAGTGGCTGGGGCTCTGGATTCCCACTCCTAATTCAACTAGAGAAATTCTTGTTTTTGTCTTTCAATATACAATCTAAAGTTAAACTCTACTTGGTATTTACTGATTAAGAAGTTTGAAAACTGCTCCCAGGTTGAGGCAAAGCAAACTACTTCTTTCCTATATATATCATTCTTCAGCTTTGCTCAAGCTTTCTATGTACAGGGTGGGACAAAAATGGGGTTGCAGTTGTGAGTACACAAAACACAGAGTTTATACTAATGTTATTATTTATTAATTATTGTATTATTTTCCATATGAACAACTGTAAACCTACTTTTGCCCCCCCTTTGGAATTCTCAATACCACCTTCTCTCTTACCCGCTTTGTATTCTCAAGTCTGTGTCTTTGCTTGTCTAAATCCTATTCGTTTCAAATGCCATGCTCTCCATGAAACTTTGCCAGACCCCCAGGCTGAAGAGAAGGCCTGTCTTGTCTTTGAACTACAGTGGTCTTCACTTGGTTTCTTGTAACACATAGTTTCTGTTTTAGTACTGCTGTCACTTACATTCATGGCTTGCTATCTCCACTAACCTGAAAACCCCAAGAGGCAGGGTCATGTTACCTCAATCGTGGTATCTTCCACAGGACCTGGCAGATTGCTGGAGCTATTACTTGTACCTATTGGGTGCCAGGCCCTTTGTTGGGCATCCAAAATGCAAAGGCCAATACACGACCCTGTCTCTGTTCTCAGGAAGATAAATCTACAGAGCAGGACAGTCTGGTAAAGGAGCTCTTCTCATATAGTTTGCTAAAGGCCACCAAAGCCTCTGTGAGAACTAGGGGCCATAGTCATAGCTTCCGGGAATATTTAAGCTGTCTTATGGAGTGAGCAGAAGTCTTTCAGATGAAACAGAAAATTCCAGGTAGAAGAAACATGAGGCTGAAAGGCCAAAAAGTGTGAGAATGGTGCGGTAGGAAACAGTTGTGTGGCTTGAGAGTAAATGTGTAGGGCAGGGTGAAGAGAGAGAGGCAGGGATCATCATGCACTGTGAGCCCTTGAAGGGTTTTGTGCAGGAACATTAGAACATCAGAACTTGGAAAGAAGGAGCAGAGATTTAAAGATAGTAGCAAGAAAGCCTCAGCTCTGAACACCCAGTCTTCTGATATTAGTTGCTACAGCACCAGCAGAGGAAGAGACTCGGGTGTTGGAGAGTAGATGCAAATGGGACTGAGACCGTGCCTTTTTGAAAACTGGAGAGCTGCTTCCATACAAAGTGAACCTGGGACTCCTAGTGGCACTCTTCCGGGATATTTCTGGGAGGGGCCAAGATAAATACAGTCATGTGTGACATAATAGATTTTCAAATGTTAGTGGGAAATTGAGTTAAATATTTTGATTGTCAGTGCTGTAGGAATTCAGGTAAGACCATCACTGAAAACTGGGGTAGCGACTGGTGGGGAAAAGAAGTAAGACTTGGGTTATCACTGGACCTTGGAGAGAAGTTGGATGGGCAAGTAGGGACAGGGGTCCCTCTGAGCAAGCAAGGGAAGCCAGCTGAGAGAGGATGCGGAGGAGCAGTGGGCATGGTCTCGACTGGGAGGGGAGGAGAGAGGCGGAGTGGCAGTACAGCTAGGGACAGGGCTGGACCAAGGTGCAGAAGTCCTAGAAGGCCAGATGCTTATCTTTTGAAACATTAGGAAAAGCTGCCAGTGTGATGAAAGTGGTTTAGCAAAGTGGTTATGTATGGATGGATTGTGGGGCTGAGGGGACAGAGTCTGTCACCTAAGGTAATAAGGTTTTGTACTCTAACAGTAAGATAAAAGAAGGACCATTGGAGTGACTTTTTCTAGCCAGCGGTCAACAGGATTTGGTGTGGGGATGGTGGATCAAGGGGGAGAATCAGAGATTCGCGTTTGGGGCCTAGGAGAATTGTGGGAGCATTGAAAGAGACATGAGTTGGGGAGAGGAGCAGTATATGGAACTAGAAGAAAAGATTTGTTTTTAAAATTGAAGTCATCACATCTGACTCAATGAGTGTAAGAATTTTATGGGCAGTTGGAGCTAAGAGACCTATGGCTACTTGTGATGTTTTGAACCCACTATAGTACAGTTGGCAGGAGCCAGATTGCAAGGAGTAACGAAAGATGGTGAAGACGTGAAGTTTCCTTAGAGGGCAGTGACTTGTTTGAGAAATTGGAGGACAGGAAGGGAAATACGTGGTAGTTACAAGGGACATGAAGTAGAGTCCTTAAGGGAGGGCCGTAGAAACCTGCGGGCTGATTCCTTAACAAGCCTTACAGGTATATATGGTCACTGAGATTATATTAATTCATTCATTCACCAAGTATTTGTGCGTCAAGCATTCTGGCCACTTCTCCCTTTACTTCAGTCTGGACTAGGTGCCAGGGCAGCCTCTTGACAGTGAACACTGGTGTAGTAATGACAGGACTTGGTCTAAGGACACCGGGAGTAGTAAATCCTGGTTTTTGCTTCCTTTAATTGAAGCTAGAGTTAAAGTTTCTTTCCTTCTCTCCCGTGGGAAAGTTACAGGTGTAGTGTCAGTGTGATCCCGGCTGTGTCCCAGGTGCTGCTGGATATTAATGCTGTGTCAAGAACCTTTTAAACAATATGTTGTGTGTTTTGTGTGTATGTCGTTACAATAGGTAGAGTGGAATCCCCGGCTATTGGAGGTCCCACCCCAAACTCAGTTTGAGTATACCGTCACCAATCTTGCTGGTGGCCCGAAACCACATTCTCTTTTTGACTCTCAGTACCACAAGACCGTGCTGAAGGTGAGCAATGCTTCCTGCGATGGGAAGCCGCTGCCGGCTCTGATGGCTGCTCTGGGCTGGGCTTAGTAGGCTGTGAGGGGTTTGCATTCCTCTCTGTTTCTGCCCCACCGCAGGGGGGCATGTTTGCTGGCCAGCTGACCAGTGTGGGCATGCGGCAGATGTTTGCCCTGGGGGAGAGGCTGAGGAAGAACTATGTGGAGGACATCCCCTTCCTTTCGCCAACCTTCAACCCACGCGAGATCTTGTGAGTTACTTGAAAGACGGATGTTGCGCCCAGTGTGAGGTCTTGAGCATGAGGAAACCTGTCCTTGTGCCCCAGATGCTTTCCACTCTCATCCAAGGGAGGTTTGGCCAGTTGCCCTTACAAAGTAGAACCCTTTGAACTGGTGGTCATTGGCGGTCACATTCATGGCTTTCGGGTCCCTTGGGGCAGCCATCACACAGAGAGGAGATTCTTCCCAGCCCCGTAGCTCCCCTTATGTACCCTTGAAAGCTCCCCAGTGGCTCTGTGGAATAAGGTAGAGTGTATATAATTAAATCTTCCTTTTTGAGTACCTCTACCTTTTTGTGTTTTTCCAGTGTTCGTTCTACTAATATGTATCGGAATCTGGAGTCTACCCGCTGTTTGCTGGCTGGGCTTTTCCAACGTCAGAAAGAAGGTTCGAATTTGGAGTCTAAAATAGCCCCTACCCCTGCCCCTGAGGAACTTTTTCTTCTTAATTCCAAAGGCCCCACCTCCCTCTTCCTTGGTGCCTGCTCCCTTGGTCTCTGTCCTGCACACGTGGCTTCCGTGGTGCACCTGCTCTCGTGGGCCCTTCCTGACGGGCTTCTGCCTGGCCAGCCTCACCTCAGTGGCTGCAGGAGCAGCAGCTGCTCTGATGGGCCCCTGCCTCCTCACTCCTCCCCTTCAACTTCTGCGCAAGCTGCACGAGGCAGCCCTCGCCAGGTCTTGTGAGCAGTATTGGGGCTTTGTGCTTAGGTGAGAGACTGCTGAACAGGAAGGAGGGCCAGAGGGACGCTTAGCTGGGACCTGAGCCTGCTGTTGCTGCTCTGGTCCTGGTGATAATCCAGAGCATGACCCTGGTACTATTACTAGCATTAGCTCAGCCTGTCCTGTTTGAGAAAGTTTATTGAGTTGGGTTTTGACAAATTCAGCCAGTGAATGATTGCAGCTAGTGGTTCCCAACCTTTTCACCACTAAGGACCACATTTATTATTTTCCCTCATGGTTCCCATGTTTTGAGGACCTTTGACTATCAAATGGAGCTGCATTTTGTCACATATAATTGATTCAAATTTACATTTAATTGCTTGTCTGAGTTTCAGATCATCATAACCTCACTAATATTAAGACACTAGAAGGCAAAAATTCTTGTTATTTTATGTAGCTTCTTCAGCAGTATCTCAAAGAGGTATAACATTTCCACCGGGCACTTTTTTTTAAAAATCCTCATCCGAGAATATTTTTTCCATTGCTTTTCAGAGAGAGTGGAAGGGAGGGAGGGAGGGAGAGAGAGGAAAACATGGGCTTGAGAGGGACACATTGATTGGTTGCCTCCCGCACATGCCCACCAGGGCCGTGGAACTGGGGTACGTGACCTTGGCCAGAATCCAACCTGAGACCCTTCAGTCCGAGGGCCGGTGCTCTAACCATTGAGGCAAACTGTCCAGGGCTTCCACCAGGCTTTTTAAAAAATGTTAAATGATAGAAACCTTCAGGCCAGAGGAGGCTGGCCTTGCCCCCAGCTGGGGTGGGCAGTGCTGCTGATTCTGGCTGAAGCTGGCTATTGGCCACAAAGAGCATGTGTCTAAGGAACACACAGCAGACAGAATGGGCTGCTCCTTACTTCCCGGGAGCCCCTTAGCTCAGGAACAGTCCACAGTGCCTGGCCTTCTGGAAGCTCTTCACTTGCTCAGCTTCTAAAAGGCAGATATCCTCTTCTCATAAATAGCAAAGCTATGACTGCAGTAGGAAATACGTTTCTTGGTGGCAGACTGACCTGCAGACAGGAATCCGACCGAGGCTGCCCCAGGTTTTCAGCAGGAAGGAAGTTGTGTCATCCTCAGCCTCCAGTGTGGCTGCAGGGGACCCAAATATTGTGGGACTCTAGTTGGACATCTGTCACAGCAATTCCCATGCCTTTACCAGTATCAAGGGACTTGAATAAACCAAAGAACCCCAAGGTGTTACAATTAATGGAAGTGGTGCAACTCTGGATATTGTTTCAGGAGTAAATGCTTAGAGAAATCCTGAGGGTTTGTGTAGGCTGAGGAGAACCAGGCTGTGGGAGAAGCCGGAGGTTGTTGGTCTGTACTATGTGATCAGTCGTTCAGCATATATTTGAGTGTCAACTCCAATGTTTCTTATTTATCATAAACTGTAAGTCCAATTCCAGACACCAATATCAGATACCAGATAGAATTATCATGTTATATTAAAGGTTTAAATTATAGTTGTTATTATTATTCTAACATTTAAAGGACTTACTATGCACCAAACATTATTGTTAGAGCTTCACGTTTATGAACTCACTTAATTCTTGTCATAACCCTGTGAGGCAGGTAACATTATCATCAATTGACAGATAAGAGAACTAAGGCACCGAGAGGCTGAATGACTTTCCCAGGGACACAAAGCTGGTAAATGGTGGCGCTTGGGTTCAAATCCTGGTGGCCTGGTTTCAGAATCCATACTCATCCTCTTCGTGCTTCTCAAGACGTGGACATCGGGAGAGGGCCTCTCTGGTCATTTGACAACGAAGGTGTCTGAATGCCGATATTCTAGCCAAGTTACCACAGGCTATATTTATAGTCCTGAGGGTGTGACTATTGGTAACTTGGGAGTAATCGTTCTTTGAGGCTTAGAGTCACCTAATCACTCAACAGATTGACTTCAGCGAACTCCAGGGAGCTGCTGATGGGAGCTGTTTCTTTCACCATCAGAGAAGGTCAGGCTTGAGCTCTGTAGACAGGGGAGTTGCACAGAGCAAAGCCGGGAGGTACTAGAGGGCCTTCCCTGAGCATCAGTGAGAGGAACAAGGGTACTTGTGAGCTCTGAGCAGTAGGGAGCTACTGCACGGTTTGTAGTCTAATCCGTGGTTCCAGGAAGTTCATCTGGAAGGCGAGCTTTTGTTTGGGCAGGGTGATGGGTCTGAGAGGACTTGTGGCCTTGTGGTCACCTTGCTTAGATTGCCATGTGATAAGCTGTCATACTGGCCTATAGGATTGACTTTGGGAAGCAAGAAAGTCACCTAGTTCTGATAAAGTCAGGGGCGGCCCATTTATCAGAAAGCCCAAGAGCTGCCCTGGCCAGGTGGCTCAGTTGGCTGGAGTGTAGTCCATATACACGGGGTGAGCGGGTTCAATTTTCAGCCAGGGCACATACCCAGGTTGTGGGTTTGATCCCTGTTTGGGGTGTATGCGGGAGGAGGCCAATCGATATTTCTCTTTCTCTCCCACATTGATGTCTGTCTGTCTGTTCCATTTTAAAAAAACCAATAAAATAAAAAAATAAATGAAAAAGCCCAAGTACTGGTAGTGCCTTGAGGTCAGGTTTTTTGGAATGGGTCAGGGAAGTGCCATCTGAATCAGGTTGCAGCCTATATGTGGCCCAATAAGATGGGTTGTGCCAGACAGAACATGGCTGCTACCTGCTTTCTTCATTGCTCAGGCCGTAGGGGAGCTCCTCCTGGCAAGGCCAGGGCGTGGTGAAGGCCTTCACTCTCCTTGAGTAACCTTGATGACCTGCATCCTGGAAGCTCCATCTGTGTGTTCAGAGAAGGAGGGGGAGGAGATGCTGGAGGAACACACTGCAGCTTCCTCCTGCCTGTGTCCCCGCCTTACTTTCAGGACCTGCTGTCATCCACACTGATGAAGCAAGCTCAGAAGTCTTGTACCCCAACTTCCAGAACTGCTGGAGCCTGCGGGAAAGAATCAGGTACCGCCCTGGGTTCTGGCTCACTGCTGGGGGACAGGCGGCCTTGTAGTACATTTGCTGGCAGGATCTGCCTGAGCCGAGGGCCTGCGGGGCCTACTGAGCTGAGGATGGGGGAGGCATGGCATTCAGGTCCGACACTGCTACCAGGAAGTGAAGATGCTCCTGCTCACAGTGGCGAAGGGACAGGAAGCCTGGGAAAGCCACATGCTGGGCTAGAGAGATGGTGCATACGGCCACGAGTGGGGCTTTGCTATTTCCAAAACAGTATTCTCTCGATAATCCTGAGCTCTCAGATGGGGCCGATGAAGAAACTAGTGGGCTAAATAAAAGATGATTGAGCCAGTCATCGAACTGCAAATCCAGGCAGGCAGGCAGGCAGAAGACACAGATTCCCTTTCTCACCAGTGTGCTGCCCTGTAGGGTAGGTTGGTCTGGGCTGATGGCACTTTTCAGTGTGTAGGTATTTCTGGGCGATACTCAGGATAAAGTGTGTGTTTCACAGAAGAAACAATGCTGTTTTCAAGCAGACCTAGGCCATGCTTGCATGGTGTTTGGTTTAATAAAAGAAAATGCTGGAGTAGGATTTGAAAAAATTCAGGTTTTATTCCAGCCCTGGTACTTGCTAACTTTTCCAGTCATTTTTACCTCATAGAGCCTTAGTTTACTCATCTGTAAAATGGAATAATGACAGCTAACCCCTATGAGTTGTTGAGGATTAACTGAGATTCCAAACTTCGTAAATTGTTGATCACTGTACAATATAAGGACACTCTTTTTATTTTTTGGCAGAGGTCGGAGGCAGGCTGCCTCTTTGCAGTCGGGAATCTCAGAGGATTTGAAAAAGGTGAAGGAGGGAATGGGCATTGCCAGCAGTGATGGAGTGGACTTCTTAATCCTCTTTGACAATGTGGCTGCTGAGCAGGTGGGATGACTGTCCTCCTGGGGCCCTGGGGGTGGGCGAATCTGGCGTGGGCACCTGGATGGCCTGGCCCCTAAGTTAGAACTGGGTGGAGAGAAGCGGGTGGAGGCCTCCTGGTTTGGAGGCAGCTGGCAGGGATCAGCGACGATCGGGGAGGACTCCTCATTCAGGAGCAGGCATTTCACTCTAGGTCAGAGTTTCCTGAAGCATGTTCCCTAAGTACCAGTGCTGTGAGTGTGTGCTACGATGGGCAGAGGCTGGGTGGGTGGTGGGAAGGGAAGAATTGTCTAGAAATTTTGGAGGACCTTTGTATTAACTCAGGTTTTGAAGAGTGTGTGCACATCAACATATTAAAGAACCCGAGAAGCCCGTAGTGAAGAAGGCTGGTTAATCTTTAAGTCTGTTTTTCCCAAATTCATTTAGCCATAGGATTTGTTTTAGTCTAATAAGTGCTGAAGACCACCCACTGGGAACTGCTCCTCTAGATTCAAAATCAGACACCCAAAGGCTGTACAGCTGGATCCTCCTTCTCTGGGGAAGACAAGTACAGCCTGTGCTGAAGTGTAAAATAGGTTTGAGGTTATAAGAAGAGTTTATATGAACTGTTTCTATGTTACACTTTCTGGAAGTCATTTTGGGGAAAATGAAGGCCATGAATTACTTGCCTTATATTTTATTCACCACTTTTTCTTTTACAGTTTAAAAAAACACAAATGTTTTCATTTTGGAGTAGATGGGGAGCTGTCAGAAAGGGAGGAAAACAGGTTTTCCTGGGCCTTCAGAGCTCTAGGATTAGCTCCCAAAAGGCCCCGAGAACGTAGCTTTTTGAGCTGTGAAGCCCC